AAATGTTTCTGTTTTTGGTTTGGGAGTGATGCATCTGGGCAGAGGGGTGGTGTGTTAGACTCAGTCCATGCCCCTCATTTTGCAGGGCTGAGACTGAGGCCAAAGGGACTTGCTCAGGGTCACAGAGTTGCAGAAGAATCCCCAGTCACACTCAGCTGTCCTGAACCCCAGGCTGTCCTTTCAGTGCCCCAGCCTTTGTTCCAGGTTTCATCCCCCACGGGGCTGCCTGTCCTCATCAGTGCACAATAACCCGGGCTCTGCAGGAGGGGCCGCCTTCTCTTTCATGCTGTGCTGTTGAGCGTAGACCACAGAACATGGGATACCTTGCCCTGGGTTTCTGTCTAGCTTTGCTGTGTATTTCAATCTTTGAGCTTTAGTTTCCAACTCTGGGGGGAAGGGCTAACAATAGTTATGATACATGCATCAGGAGCTTTGTCATAGCCTTTAACCCAGTGATTTGTCTTCTGGGAAATTCTCCTGTAAAAGGGACTCAAAAAGCTTTATGCTCACAATGTTCGTTGTGCACATAAGAAAAGTAAATCTCCAAAACAGTATTCAAACTCACAAACAGAGCATGATCCCAGTTGGGGGAGGGGGGGAAAGAAGGAAGGAGACTGGGCACGGTGGCTCACGCCTGTAATCCCAGCACATAGGTAGGCTGAGGCAAGTGGATCACCTGAGATCAGGAGTTCGAGACCAGCCTGGCCAACATGGTAAAACCCTGTCTCTACTAAAAGTACAAAAATTAGCCAGACATGGGGGTGGATGCCTGTCATCCCAGCTACTCGGGAGGCTGAGGCAGGAGAATCGCTTGAACTGGGAGGTGGAGGTTGCAGTGAGCTGAGATTGCACCATTGCACTCTAGCCTGGGCTATAAGAGCAAGACTCTGTCTCAAATTAAAAAAAAAAAAAAAGAAGAAGGAAATAAATAAACAATATCCAGGGTTGCTTAGGTGATGGGTTTATAAATAATAGTTTCTTTATTCTTTTACTGTTTCAAAATGTTTTGCAGTGTATATACCATCATGCCTCACTTAACAATGGGAATTTGTTCTGAGAAATGCATGGTTAGGCAATTTTATTGTTGTGTGAACATCGTAGAGTGTACGCGAACTTAGATGGTGTAGCCTGTTACACACCTAGGCTCTACGGTATGGCTTATGGCTCCTAGTGTACAAACCTGTACAGCATGTGACTGTACTAAATACTGTAGGCAACTGTTGCATAATGGGAAGCATTTGTGTCTCTAAACATAGAAAAGGTACAGCAAAAATACAGTATAAAAGAAAAAACGTATACTTTGGCAAGGTATAGATTTTAAAATGTGTACATAGTCAGTGCCCTGAACCTATATACCTGTACAGGACATTTACCATGAATGGAGCCTGCGGGATTGGAAGTTGCTCTGGGCGAGTCGATGAGTGAGTGCGGAGTGGATGAGAAGGCCTAGGAGTTGCTGTACATGACTGTAGACTTTATAAACACAAGACACTTTGGGCATACTACATTTACTCAACAATTTTATCTCTTCCAAATAAATTAACCTTAGCTTACTGTAACTTTTTTACTTCATACATGTTTAATTTTTTAAACTTTTTGACTGAGCTTAAAACACAAATGTATTGCACAACTGTATACAAATATTTTCTTTCTTTCCTTTTTTTTAGACAGAGTCTCGCTCTGTCACCCAGGCTGGAGTGCAGTGGCACAATCTTGGCTCACTGCAACCTCCCCCACCTGGGTTCAAGTGATTCTCCTGCCTCAGCCTCCCGAGTAGCTGAGACTACAGGTGCATGCCACCACGCCCAGCAAAGTTTTTTTTATTTTATTTTTATTTTTTTTTTATTTTTATAGTAGAGACGGGGTTTCACCATGTTGTCCAGGCTGGTCTTGAACTCCTGACCTCATGATCCACCCACTTCGGCCTCCCAAAGTTCTGGGACTACAGGCATGAGCCATCGCTCCTGGCCCATATTCCCTTTATATCCTTACTCTATAAACTTTTTCTATTTATTTATTTTTATTTTATAAATGTTTTGTTACAAAGACACAGACACACACATTAGCCTAGGCCTGCACTGGGTCAGAATCATGAATATGACTGCCTTCTACCTCCAAGCCTCATCCTACTGGAAGCTCTTCATGGGCGGTAACGTGAATGGAGCTCGTGTCTCCTATGATAACAGTGTTTTCCTCTGGAATACCTGCTGAAGGACCTACCTGAGGCTGTTTCACAGTTAACTTAAAAAAAAAATACAAGAAGTGCACTCTAAAATAATGATAAAAGGTGTTGTATAAAAATACTACACAATAGGAATTTTTTGACTCTATTGTAATTTTGTAGGACCACTGTTGTGTATGAGGTCTGTCAATGACCAAGGTGTTCCTCTGTGGCACGAGACTGCATGTGACTTTTAAAAGCAGCAAAGCAAGGCTTTGAAATAACTTCAAGCATCAAAAATGAAAGAAGGAAACATTTAAAATTCTAGCCTGTTTTACAGTGTTCTAAGCCAGTGTTTTCAACATCGATTATCAGATTAATTCTCACAGCAGCCCCCAGACTTAGGTATGGACTTGAACTTTGTACCCCACTTACAAATGAGGAGGCGGAGGCGAGGGAAGTGAAGAGACTGTTTCTACCTGGGAGTGGAGGGGGCCAGCAAGGGACCAGGCTTCTGGCTGTGGTGACGGGGCTGCTGCCATCAACATGCCTACCCCTTAAAGCACAATGTCAAGACTAACCAACGATGGGGCAGGGCGAATTGTTGGGCAGCCTGAGACCTGTATGTGAGTGGGACAGACAGCAGAGGGGGTGCCTGGGGTTCCTGACCCCCGTTCCTCTGGCTAAAGCAGAGAAAGGGCTAGACACAGGCCGCATCCGCAGAGAGGCTACCTGGTGCCTGGACTTGCTCCTGTGGCTTTTTCTTTTTTTGAGACGGAGTTTCACTCTTATTGCCCAGACTGGAGAGAAATGGTGCCATCTTGGCTCCACAGGGTCAGAGAGCCTGTCAAAGGTCCTTGGCATTTCAGGCTGCCTTCACTCCCCCTTCTCACTCATTCTGCCCCTTTTTGGAAGCTCAGAGCTCCCCAAGAAAGGAATGCAGGCCTGGGGACTCTGGGTTAAGAAGGCTCAGACGGAAGGCCCAGGCTGTCTCAGGAATTCACACAGAGGCTGGCAGGAGGGAAAAGACAGGCCTCTTGGGCTCACAAGGTTGAGGGTCCAGGTATCAGGAAAGGGGAGGGAGCATGCGGCTTTGAACACACGCTTGAGTGGTACCTCAGCATCTCACCCTGCCCAGGTAGCACCGTTTTGCAGTATCGCCTCCAGTCTCTCTGGATAAGGTCTGCATTGCCTGAGCCCCTTGTCAGAGCACCTCCAATGTATGGGCAGTGGCTATGTCATCAGCGCCCTGAAGGATAAGATGTGGCCCTGTGGTGAGTGTGGGAAGACAGCCCTAGCAAGAAGCGAAGAAGGCACAGGCCTTCCCTACATTTGGGTGTCTCACGGGGTCCGTTTGGCTGAAGTGTGAATGAGGAGTGAGTGTTGCAGGGAAGAAACCTCCCCTGGATGCCTGGCAGTGCAGGGTAACGGACAGAGCTCTTGAGGGTGAGATGCACCAGGATCCCTTGCATCATGGGGAACTTCTTTTAAAATGCAGATTATGGGCTGTCCTCTGAGATTCTGGTTCAGTCGTCTGGGACGGGGCCTAAGCATCAGTGTTTAAACATGTTCTCCGGATGATGCTGATGCACGTGGTCTCTGGACCACACTTGCGGATCCCTTGACTAAAAGGTTAGCCTGACTTGCCCACAGCCAGGTAGAACTACACAGGCTCCAGAATATGTCCTCGTACCGACACCGTCTCATCTCTGGTCTAGAAGCCCAGTTGAGGCGCCCATATAATCCACACCAAACAGGCATCTCCTCATTCTCCCAGATGCTACTGAGATGTCTCCCTGGGAGACATGGCCAGGCGTCGTCATGGCCTGCAGGGAGCAGTTGTCGAAGAATCGGGTCAGGTGGGGGTTGGCTGGCATTACCTGTGTTTCTGTGGTGGTCATGGCCGCGGTAGTCCTTGCCATCACCCTGCGGTGGCCAGGCTGTGAGTTGGAGGCCTGCAGCCCCGAGGCCGACATGCTGGATTACCTGCTGGGCCTGGGTCAGATCACCTGCCGAGATGCCCTGGAGGTCACCTGGTACCACGCAGCCAACAGCAAGGAAGCCACGACAGCTGCCCTGAACAGCAGCATCACTGTCCTGGGAATTTCTGCACGTTCCCATGGGAAGGAGGATTTTATATATTCTTAGTGTTCAGTTTTGGGGGCCAAAGTACACATAAGTGCTTCTCACCCTAGGTTACCTGGAACTCCAGTGCTCCACGGTGCTATAAGCAAGTCCTTGAACTATTCCAAAAACTCTTCATTTTTTTATTTTTGAGATGAACTCTCACTCTATCGCCCAGGCTGAAGTGCAGTGGTGTGATCTGGGCTCACTGCCACCTCCACCTCCCAGGTTCAAGCGATTACTCCTGCCTCAGCCTCCTGAGTAGCTGGGACTACAGGTGTGCACCACCATGCCCGGCTAATTTTTGCATTTTTTAGTACAGACGGAGTTTCGTCATGTTAGCCAGGCTGGTCTTGAACTCCTAATCTCAAGTGATCCACCTGCTTTGGCCTCCCAAAGTGTTGGTATATCAGGTGTGAGCCACTGTGTCTGGTCCCTCCAAAACTCTTAACTATAGTACAACTGTAGGGCTAATGTTTACATTGCTTTTGGTGCAAAATACATCCATTTAATATGCTGCCCTTGGGCTGAATCCACTGCAGTGAATATGTATTGAGTCCTCACTGTGGGTTAGGTAAGGCTGGCCTGAAGTTTACATGTTTTCATGTCACTGATTCATTCTCATATGGGTAAATAAGTTATTAATTAATGCACTCAAGCAGGCAACGTTGGCCAAAAGAAAGATTCCACAAAGGGAACAAAATAATGACACTTAAAACGTTTGACTGGTGGAGAGTTAGGTGCTGCTGGGACCTCCTGCCTCCCACGGGATCCCAGCCGCAGGGAGCCTCGGGGACCCTGGGTCGTGCGGAGTGGGGGGCATTCTTCAGAGAGCGTCGTCGTGGCCTGCAGGGAGCAGTTGTCGAAGAATCGGGTCAGGTGGGGGTTGGCTGGCATTACCTGTGTTTCTGTGGTGGTCATGGCTGCCATAGTCCTTGCCATCACCCTGCGGTGGCCAGGCTGTGAGCTGGAGGCCTGCAGCCCCGAGGCCGACATGCTGGATTACCTGGTGGGCCTGGGTCAGATCAGCCGCCGAGGTGCCCTGGAGGTCATCTGGTACCACACAGCCAACAGCAAGGAAGCCACGACAGCTGCCCCGAACAGCAGCATCACCGTCCTGGAGGCTGACGTCAATGTCGAAGGGCTCGGCACAGCCGACGAGACAGGAGTTGCCATCATAGCACACCCCCTGGCTATCCGTAGCTTCAACACACTGGAGCAGTGGCTGGATGGTATGCCAGGCTCTTCCCAGAAGGGCATCAAACTGGACTTCAAGAACATCAAGGCGGTGGGCCCCTCCCTGGACCTCCTGCGGCAGCTGACAGAAGGGGGCAAAGTCTGGCGGCCCATGCGGATCAACATTGACATCTTAAAGGGCTCTGACATGCCCATCTCAACTGAGGTCAGTGCCACAGAGTTCCTGGCCCTCATCCAGGAGAAGTATCCCAAGGCCACCCTGTCTCCAGGCTGGACCACCATCTACGTGCCCATGTTCCCAAACAGGATGTACACCCGAGCGATGGTGGAGAAGATGCACGAGCTGGTAGGAGTGGTGCCCCAGAGAGTCACCTGCCCTGTGCTGTCTTCCACGGTGCGAGCCACCTGGCCCCACTCCAGCTGGCTGCTGAGCCAATCTGAGAGGTACAGCCTGATGCTGTGGCAGGTCGCCTCGGACCCCATGTCGGCAGAGGATCTGCTCTACCTCTAGGACAACACTGCCATCCATCAAGTCTACTATGACATCTTTGAGCCTTTTCTGTTGCAGTTCAAGCAGCTGGCCTCTGCTTGGCAAGCTTAGAGAGGATGGCTGTACAGCTGTGGCCTACAGAAGGTATTCCTGAATGGCAGCCCCCTCACCTGGGCGATTTGGGGCCCCACAGTGAATGCCACACGGAAGCAAATGTAACACGGGAGGCAGCCTGATCCCTCTTCTCCAGCGGTTCGGGGGTGATGGTCTTGATGCTGCCCCAGGGGTACAGCAACAGTCACCCTCCCAGACACAGAAGGCACAATCCTGCGGAACACTGGCTCGAGGGAACTGTGGCTGAGAACCCCGTGCCCACTGTTTGTGCTCCAAGTGGCAGCATCCTGAGGTTGGAGTCCTGCCTGCAGCAGCTGGCCACACATCCCGGACACTGGGGTGTCCATTTGCAAATAGTGGAGCCTGCAGCCCTGCGGCCGTCCCTGGCCTTGCTGGCCTGCCTCTCCAGCCTTGGCCTCTTGCATCAGCCTATGTGGATGGGGGCCAAAATCTCCCACAGGAGTTTTCAGTCCCTGGTCACATGGCTGGCAGAGAACTGCTTACAGCTGTGGCTGAGGTCTTCCCCTGCGTGACTCTGGCACCAGGCTGGCCTGAGGAGGCGCTGGGCAGTGGCTACAAGGAACAGCTGTTCACAGATATGCTAGAGCTGTGCCAGGGGCTCTGGCAACCTGTGCCCTTCCAGATGCAGGCCAGGCCACCGGGCCACAGCACGGCTGGAGCTGTAGCCAGGCTGCTGGCATCCTCCCCCTGGGCCACTGTCACAGTGGAGCGCAGCCCAGCTAGGGGCGACTATGCCTCTGAGAGGACAGTGCTGCTGGGAGCCAGGGCTGTGGACAGGACCGGAATCTACTACAGGCTGCCCCAGGGGCACCACAAGGACTTGCTGGCAGATGTTGGCAAAAACGGAGCACCGAGGGGTGGTGGCCAGTGGACCCGGGGTGGAGGCTGCCCGCGGGGAGGCAAGAAGAAATAAAGGCCTTTGCCTTTCTCCAGGCAAAACAAAACAAAACAAAACAAACAGAAAAGGAAAGGTTAGAAACCCTGGTCTGGATATCTAGCTTATTGTGTGTGGTCAATAGAAGCTTTTTAATAAATGAAAAATGTTTTACTCACCCCTGTCACTCCTTTGCTAGAAAAGACAACTTGGAGCTTCCAAGAGAACAGTCTGTCCCCTGGCTATGTTTCAGAAACGCTCATTCTGCTCAGTCCAGCTGCAGGGAAAAGGATTGTTTCTAGAAGAAAGAGCCTACTTTACACAGCTGTATCCAGGGAAGGCTGAGGGTTGCTCCCCATGGCCCTCTGGTTCTCCCCCTGACTGTTTATGATCAGGCCCATGTGCAGCTTCTGGGATCCCTAACGATGCCTGATACATGGGGAGCTTAAGTGGCTACATTTCAGGCTTCAGATATTAGCAGAGGACTCTTGCGCTGTCTGAAGATGAGCAGTTGATGTATTCCGTGTGCTGGAGTCTGCCAGCCCATTCGAATTTAATTAAGCACATTCTTTCCTGACAGCCTTCTGGTGCTCCGGAGCAAGATGCTTTTGGCTTTTGGCTTTTGGCTGCAATTGGAACTCATTCTTTCTCCCTTTTTTCCGGAAGCTCTCAGCGTCTCCTCTGCCTTCAGGGAACCCGTGGTGGTGTGCATCAGGGTCACTCCTGGAGATTCTGAGACAGCCGTCTTCCTTTCAGTCGTCCTCCATAGGTGACTCTGAATTGCTCTGAGGCCTAAGAACTGCTGACCTCTGTAGGTTAATGAACCTCAAGCCAATGCCTCCACTCTGGACCTCCCGAGCTTCAGACATTTGCACCTTTCTGTCTTTCGGGCAGCTCCACCTGGAATGTCTAGGAGGCACCTCAAGCTCCAAGTAGATGTCCTATAAGTTTTGGAGTCCCTCACCTGCTGTATTCAATTCATTCTATTTATTCCTTCTTCCAAAATATCTCTCAATTCTCTCACCTCCTAAGGAAAATTCTGCCTTTCGTAAACAAGGTCTAGTCGCTGGATGGAGGAGCTGTTTCTCTGATTCACCCGATTTCCCTTTTTCTTGAGACTTTCTCCCTAACCATTGCTCCCATCTCGTAAGTAACTTATAATAACTTGGGTAGGGGCCTGTGACTTCCCCTGCACACATGCATGCTTCTTCCTTTAGTTTCCTCTGGCACAGCTGAGATGAGGCTGGAAAACCTGACTGGATTTGTCCCACTGGAGACTCAGTGATAAGAGAAGGGAGATCAGCACAGGGCGTACTGTGACACAGGATACCTGGCATTCCCCTGCTTTCCTTTCGAAGCCTGAAGGGCTTGCCTCACCGGAGCTCCCCCTGGCATCCCTATGGTGGGTACTGTCTTGGCACTTGCCAAGTTGAGTGTGTGCCCAGAACAGGTCTTCACCCAGAACAGCTGGAGCAAGGTCCTCTCCCTGCTTCCCTGCTTCATTTCCGCTTCTTGTCAGAGCATCCATCTGGTTCTCAAACGGCTGGTGTTGGATATAACCACTCCCTTCAGAGGAGACCATGCCTATTCCAGGGCCAGGGCTGCATAAGGTTCAGCATTGCAACCAAACCAAAATATGACGTAGTGACCCCAATTGTAATGATGAACTCACATTACAGCCCCTGGCCATGCCATTGCCGCTGCCTTAGTTCCAGGCTTCAGTAGCTCTTGCCATCTGGTAGCAGAAGGCTCCCCTCCCGTCGTTGACCACAGCCAGTCTTCCCACAGTAGCTGGACCCACAATTCTAAAACTACAGAATATCACTGGTTAGCAGTTCTCCAACTATTTGGTCTTAGGATTCTTTCACGCTATAAAAAATTACTGACGAGGTGAGCGGATCACGAGGTCAGGAAATCGAGACCATCCTGGCGAACACAGTGAAACCCCGTCTCTACTAAAAATACAAAAAATTAGCTGGGAACTAATTGGTGGTGCGTGCCTGTAGTCCCAGGTGCTCAGGAGACTGAGGCAGGGGAATCGCTTGAACCTGGAAGGTGGAGGTTGCAGTGAGCCGAGATCACGCCACTGCATTCCAGCCTGGGCGACAGAGCAACACTCTGTCAAAAAAGAAAAAATTACAGAAAACTCCAAGGGTATTTTGTTTATGTGACTTATATCTGTCCTTATTTACTATATAAATTAAAACACAGAAATTTAACAAATGTTAACTTACTAATTCACTTAAAAATAGCAATAAACTCATTACATGTCAACAGAAATAACATGTTTTAACTAAAAAGTCATCATATTTCCTAAAACAAGAAACAATTGCTTACAAGAGTGGCATCGTTTTATATCTTTGCAAATCTCTTTAATGCTTGAATCAATAGATTAAGCCAGTGACTCATCGCTGTTCCTGCATCCAATCGGTTGTGCCATGTTGTTTTGGCCAAAGTGTGTGAGAAAAATCTGGCATTACACAGACATGTAGTTGAAAAGGAGAGGAGTATTTTAATATTCTTCTTGACAATTATGGGTTTTGTGTGTTGTTGTTTTGAGATGGAGTCTCGCTGTGTTGCCCAGGCTGGAGTGCAGTGGCGCGATCTTGGCTCGCTGCAACAACCTCTGCCTCTCGGTCAAGCTATTTCCAACTAATTTTCGTATTTTTAATAGCGATGGGGTTTCACTCTGTTGACCAGGCTGGTCTCAAACTCCTGACCTCAAGTGATCCACTTGTCTCAGTCTCCCAAAAGTGCTGGGATTACAGGCGCGAGCCACCTCGCCGGGCTGGGTGGGTTTGTTTTTGTTTTTGTTTTTTTTAATACTATACCCAAACTCAAGAAGTGATAGTTTCTTAAAGGTTTATTACAATATGGAATCTGAAACTATATCAATAAACTTCTTGTACTGTCCCACATTAAAATCCAAACATTTCTCTTGTACTTTGAACGTCTTTTACTTGTGTGTAGTTGCCTAACGTCAGACATTGATCATTTGAAAAATATTGGTTCACTGTGTTGTATACATTTTCCAAATGTTGATATTTTTACTCTCCAATATTTAGATAGCACAATTCATTAGTATTACCATTGGAATATCACTGGAAAACTCCTTAAGTATTATTAGGAAGCTGTCAAGCTCACAGTGGTAAACACAAGTTTTCCAAAATTCTGATTCTCACTGGAAAGCTCAGATTTTATTATTGGCAACAAATACCATCAGTTGTTTTCCTTGAAGAAACAGTCTCAGGAGATCCATTTTTGAGAAAACATCTGCCAAAACCCCAGTCTGAATATCCTTAGTTTGTCTGGCAGTCATTTTTTTTTAAGTAAAAATGTATCTTCTGAAAAAAGTGATTAGTTCACTTAACCAAAGCAGTCACACAAGTCATTTTTCCTGGAGACAATCATTGTACATCGATGTGTGGTGGAAGTGGTACTTCTAGTGGTACTTACCAGTCCACACAGAATGTTGAAACAAGGTGTTACGCAAGGGTTGAGATTTCATAACGTCAATAACTTCTACTCTTTCATCATAGACAAGCTTACGTGTGGCTTTTAAAAAAATTTATCTTTTGCTGTGAGTGTGTGGTAGTGGAGAATATGACGGCTGTCAGTACAGTGTAGTGTCACTATCTTGATCTGTGCTGAGGGGACAGTCGTTTTACTCCGTGTTGCTTATGCACCATTATTACAAGCGGCAGCACAGGGAGAAAAGGCAAATAACACCTTCATATCATTATGAAAGGCTTGGCTTCATGGAACCCCCACCACAGGGTCCTCTTGGGAATCCCAGGGATCCAGAGTGCACATTTTGAGAGTTTTCTATGTTTCCCCACTTCCAATAGGCTAAAAAAGGCTGGACCAGTGGTGGCATTTCATGAACCCCAATCTTCTTCCTATTCTTCTGCCAGCGCTGTCCATAAAAATGTGACTTGTAAGGAAGAGTAGCTGGGAGCCTGAGTCCTGTCTGTGGGGGAGAACTTCAAGAGCTGCCAGCAAGCCCAGCTGTAATTGAAACGTCTCAGGGAGGCTGCTGGGGGGCGGGGGTTGACATCAGCCAGGCGGCACTCAGCCCCGGGGCACCCAAGACTTCAGCAGTTTTGTGGAAAGTCTGGTGTGTGCTTTGCTGGAATCCCGAGGCTGTGGGAGGTGCCAGTTCCAGCAATGACCTCATTACAACTGAGTGATTGAACAAGGCAGGCACCTTTCAAAGAAATCATCAGGTTTGCATGACTGTCAGTCAAAGTGCACAGCAGCACCCTGTAGCAGGTGGGAAGGGAGTGTGATTTGGCTTCTGCAGAAGGGGAAATGGCATTTACAGAGGAAACGTGAATTGGCGACAGTCGTGGAGGGAACTGGCTTCTCAGATCTATAGATTCAGAGACTTTTAGGGCTACAAGAGAACTTAGATGTCAACCAGACAAACTGAGTTGGAAGGAGTGGGAAGATTGCTCAGGACTCCAGCAGAGCTGCTTTGGCACATAAGTCAGCCAGACAGCCCAGCCAGTTCCAGTCCCACCTCAGCAAGTTGGCATTGTACCCCTCTTTTTCCCCTCTCCCAGCGGGGCAGCCTCCTATAAAGGAGGCCAACTACTCCATGTATCTTTGGTCTGGTGACGCTTTCAGAGTGAGGTTGGCCCGAAGACTCCCAGGTGATAGAGAATTAATCAGGCGGGACACAGAGTTTTTAATCCCCATTTTACAGATGTGGAAAGTGAGCCCCAGAGAGAATACATGACTTGCCAAGATCACATTAGTAAGTGGCAGAGGAGGAACTTGAACTCAGGTCTTGAGGCTTATGGTTCCATTGAGATGCTGTGGTGTAGAGAGGAGGGTGCAGGATCTGCAGACAGAAAAGCGGGATTTTTAGTTCCTTTGATATTTAACAGCTGGGTGACTTTTGGTCGAGCCATTTTATTTCTTTGAATCTCGGTTTCCTCATTTACAAAATGACATAATATACATCATCTATCCTAAGCTCGTTCACAGGGTTGTTTTAGAGCATCAAATTATGTGGTTTTTATAAATATGCCTTATATACTGTGAATCTCTTTAATAAGTTTGAGGGGGCTCACACGCCCACTTAATGGACCATTCTTTTGCCCGCAAGGATGATATAGACCCTTGGACTGACACTGCCTTCCTTAACTAAGGCCCTAAGAATCCCAGCATTTGGAAAATGTGAATCAAGAGATCCCAGAGGCTGCAAGCAGGGCGTGGTAATGGATGGGAATGGAAACTGTTATTTATACCAGCTCCCTTCACTTTTCAGGAGATCTGGGGGGATGGGGATGGCTCTGGGTGTGATGTTCCCGGTGTGGCTTTGGTGCAAGACTCCACAATTCTTTGTCCCCCGGCTTTTGCACCACTCCAAGCTGTGACACTCTGACTGCCATTCAGGCAGCACCATTGTGCACTATCCTGCCTCGCAAAGTGGTCAGACACATGTTTTCAAGGGCCCTCTAAGGAAGGAAACTGAGGTGCTGGTATTTGAATGTGGTTTTCAGATACTTTCAAAGAGCATTCTAATGGCTGCTTCACTCTGCTTTCACCAAGGCAGCGCCGTGTCTTAGGGAGAGGCCATCTAGG